GGGAAACCATATGGGATCCCCTTTTTTTCCAAAAAGCTCTGCTACTATGAACTGTGGGATCAGGTACTAAGGCTTCCAGACTTTTCATCTGGGAATGCTTAGGGGTGGGCATCCTACGGAACAGCTAAGGGTTGCTGCTGGGACGACGCTGGTCGGAGCTGGGGTGAGTTGTCACCCTGCAACCTAGCAGGATGTGGGGTGTGAGACCTGGAAGAGCTCGGCAGGGAGTAGGACAGTGTTGAAAGGCCTCGGAAGGAGCGTTAGGGATTCCAAGGGTTTCTGAGCATTTCTAGGACCGGCCAGGCCTTTTTTATGTTTTCAAATTACGAATCTCTACGTAGTTAAATCCAATTCTCAAAAAAAGGGGGTAGTCTGTTCTGTCCTTAAAAAGTCTTCTGGATCCTGGGGTTTCCTGGCAATCTCTTCTACGTAGTTTCAAGGCTGTAATACTCGGTGACCTAAGGCTGTTCGACGCCAGAACGACGCTGGCCGGTGCTGGGGGGTTGCCCTGTAACCTGTTGATGCAGGGGCATGAGGCCTGGTAGAGAGATCTGGGGGTGCTTTGGGGGGGCATCCCACGGGACAACCAAGGGTTGCTGCTGAGACGACGCTGGCCGGAGCTGGGGTGAGTTGTGTTGCCCTGTAACCCAGCAGGATGGGGGGTGTGAGGCCTGGAAGCTCGGCAGGGAATCCGACAGTGTTGGAGATCCTTGGAAGGATCTGTTAGGGATTATGCGGGATTGGGGGCTTTTTTAGGACTTTTGCAGTCTATTCCCGTACCTTTTCTGAGTAACGGGAAGGTAAGGGATCGAGAGAGAAAGGTATCACGCATCCTGCTAGTGGCTTTGCTGCAGTAAGTCTTGCCGGAGTGGGGTGAGGAGGACTGTTGGTGGATTCCCGAGTCTTCTTCTGTTTTCTGTTTATCTGAATGTTCCTTACAAAAAAGCTCTGAAGTAGCCTCAGTATACCGTTAGTTTCATTGTCATGAAATTTTCTGACGGTTTTTCTGAACGTACTCAAGGAACGCTGGGCCCGGTTCCCAGCTCGTGCCAATTTGAGAGGATATGGTTGTATCTAGGGGACGCTGGACCCGGTTTCCAGCAGGTGCTGCTCCCCACCAATAGATGGAGCACGTGTGCTTTTAAAAAAAAAAAAAAAAAAAAAAAAAAAAGACTGTGAGGACCCTGGCTTCAACTATGTCTTTGGTAATATCAGTCTTGGGCACTGGGCCTGTTTTAGGGAAAAAAAGGGAACTTTCTTGAAATACCCCTAAAAGCTGGGTTCTTTTGTTAGATACCCCTAAAACACAGGGGTATGTGGAAATGCCCTCAATTTCTGCATCTGCCCCTGTCCTGGTCATTGACAACTTCTGTCTATGCCCTGACCCAGGCTTGAGGGGAGGCACATTTTTTGTGCCATTTGCAGGGTCTAACAGCCATAAATACGGGGGCATATAGATAAGTTTCCCAGGGCCTGGTAGTGGTATATGCGAAAGATGAAAGGTCCAATTGGCGAGTGGGGTATTTTGCACAGTTTCACAATTTCCATAGGGGCATTTCTCCATACCCATGCCTTTTAGGGGTATCTTGACGAAATACCCGGGCATTTGAACAATTTGTCCCCCCAAAACCAAGAAAAACAAAAAAACAAAATAAACCCAAAAAACAAAAAAAACAGACGAGTCAGACGACCTCGGGCGAACAGTTTGTCGCTGCCATTATCCTGAGGAGTTGTGCAGAGTGAAAGCGACCGCACACGAACGCACGTACGCTATAGGAGGGAAGTTAAATGCACACATGCAAAAAGCACGCACGCACACACGAGGCGGGAAGCTGGATGTACACATGGAGAGAGCACACGTGCAGAAACCACGCATGCATGCGCGCACGGACGCACGCGCACGCACACACTACATAGGCGGGACGTTAGATACACACGGACAGAGCACACATGCAGGGAGAGCACGCACTCACTCGCGCTCAGAGACACACCTCCACACACAATAGTCGGGAAGTTGGCTGCACGCATGGAGAGAGCACACACACACACACACACACACACACACACACACACACACACACACACACACACATACACACACACACAAAAACAAATAAATAGGCGGGAAGTTAGAAGCATAAGCGCAGAGCCCAGAGAGGGACGTAATCGATTCTCTTCCGCCTTTTCCTTCTGCACGATGACAGGCAATATGTACGAGGTAGTATAAGTTGGGGAAACACCAGTTGCCGTGCGCGACATTCGTTCGCGGAAGACGTTTTCTCGGTCTTTACGAGAAAGTCATCAAGCCAGCGAGTGTGCGGGGAGTGGACGGCTGAGGCAAATGGACCCAAAGTCTGATTCAGCTCACTGTTCAAGTCATCAAGCCAGCGAGTGTGCGGGGAGTGGACGGCTGAGGCAAATGGACCCAAAGCACCCGGGTAACTTTCCCTGAGATCGGAGATGCGGTCTAAGTGGAACTACTGTAGCCCCATCTCGCTGATTCCACTTATCAAATACAATACCAGTTGCAGCATCAGTACTACTAATGACGGTAATAACTGTACTAGCAGTATTACTACCGGCAATGACAGGGGTATTATATCGCTAACCAAACACCACAGCAGCGTGAGCAGCGACACAAGCAGCTGCAGTAGGAACGCTCATAGCGAGAGCAGCAGTAGCCGTAGCGATAGCACCAGTATTAGTGATAGTATATATAAGCTTTGTCTCGATAGTAGTAGTAGTAGTAGTAGTAGTAGTAGTAGTAGTAGTAGTAGTTATTGGACTATTATTAGCATTCGCAGGAGATTGGCAGAGCTGGCGCAGGAGTGGTTTCCTTCGGCTGCAGCAACTGCAGGTAATGCAGAAGAAGCATGTCGTGCTTCAGATGGAGGCATCGTTCGCAAGGACAGCTCCTCGAGGGAGCAAAAACAGCAGCAGCAGGAGCAGCAGGTCAAATTTGTGTGGAGGAAGATTGTGTACTCACACACACGCTTTCTGCCGTGGGCACTGATCCTTGGGCTTACCGCCTTGGCGCAACTTCGACTTCTAACGACCAGAGCTGCGCGGGATGTTTCCGCAGGCGATCGGGCTTTATCATTTGTTCCGCGACCTGATCTCGTCCCGGAAGGTGGTGCTGGTGGAGGAGGAGGTGGTGGAGGAGGAGGTGGAGGAGGAGGAGGAGGAAGTGGTAATCAGGTTCGTCGATCTGCCAGTCAGCCAATCTGCCCCTCGTGTTTTGCACTGTGCAGTTCCCATTCTGTGTTTGACGGTCTTTTCGTGCATGAATGTGCACGTGCGTGCGTTCGTGCGCGCGCCCATGTTCGTGAATGTTCGTTCTTGCGTGTGTGGTGCACGCATGCTTGTGCGTGTGCTCGTGTATCAAGATGGAGTCAGTCTACCAGAGTCAATGACTAGCTTTTGCCCTCATCTCCTTTATCCATCTCCTATCGTCTACCTACTACCGTACTTACAGGTAGTATTACATTGTCTCTCTCTCTCTCTCTCTTTCTCTCTCTCTCTCTCTCTCTCACACACACACACAC